TGATGGCTGTTTATACATCTTTTCCTTCCACTTTGAAATATTGTTCTTAAAAAATTCTTAACTTTTCTGGTTTTTGAGATATCAATGGTGGACCTTTTTACCCGCGAACCTTTAAGTTACACTCTAATTGACAAAAATGTGATAGTACGGTTCGTTGCAGAATTTCTTCATAAAATTTACTCCAAGAAATGCACAACTTGACTTGCAACATCGAGAAAATATATATCATGAAATAAGATTTTCTCACAAAAATATGAGCTTCAGCTTCAAAAATTTAAAAATTGTATCTGATCCGACGATTCCGTTCTCCCGCTGATGAGATCGCCTCGACCCGGCTCGGGACTCGGGAGACTTCATAGAGACGAAGAGTGCGTAGAGTGCGTAGAGTGCGCCGAGTACGCGTTACCCATGCCCATGTCTATGCCGCCTAATCATTATTTACATTACGAGAAAATGCATTAGTCGTAATTAAACGCAATAGAATGCACGCACAGCGTTCGAGATTGTCATTCGTCAACCCACTAGAAAGAGTCGAGATCGGTTGAGATCCCGTACATGATAATACGAGTACTTAAGTTGTAACAGTACCTGCTACTTAATAAATTTATATCCATAAACATATCGGTACTGTAAGTATGCTCATATACTCATATGCTCATATGTGCACCAAAGATATGCAAGATTTAAGTAAACGGAAATCTATAAGATGGAAATTGTTGTGCGATGGTAATAAGCTAATACAATTTATTGGATTTACTGTAATTGTAAAAGAATATACAACGATACATGATCATAATATATGTTTTTACAGATAACTTTAGTGATTTTCCGGGCATTTTTGCTAAAAAAATGACACCTAATTGTTCATTAATATAGTATGTATATAAAAATGTTCAACTTATAAATCTTGTTTTTATTTTGGTGTGATTTTGTGTTTAAATGATGCAAAGGGACATTATTTTAAACTATCTTTAGAAACACTTTTTAAATTAGTATCTTAATTACAAAAATTTTACTATTGTAGTTTAGTATAAAAAGTGATTATTTGTGAGTAAAGAGGTAATTTTGATGACTTACAAATTAATCAGTGGCTTTTTATATAAATATCATAAATATTTAATACATCATATACGTTGGCCCATTAAATGCACCGATGTAAAGATTTAACAGTATTCTAATATGAAAAGAACGAACTGGCCTAAGAAATATTGATTAGGTTTCATAATTTTTGTGATTGACAAACAGACGTATAGTTGTGTGACAAACGTTCAATACAATTACAACAATAAGCTTCATATAAAATCTTAGAACTCTATAATTCTGATATTTTAATCAAATAAGTACTGTAAGTTAATATATCATATATCAAACGTCTGCACATGTATAGATCCTCCAACTGTCCTTTTCCCGCCGAGGGTGACAATAGAGTGTCAATAAAAGCGTCGTAAATATTTTATTATTATTATTTTCAGAGTATCTTAGTCACCGCTATATTAATTGACGCATAAACGCACATATATATCGCATATAAGGCGTTCTCGTGAATATAAAGGATACCGTTGTATTGAAATGAGGTGCGAGGCAAAATAACCTCAGACGGGGCCGATTCCAGCTTTGCGTCCATCATCGCTCGTAAAGTTTAGCGGCAAAAACCGCACACGATAATACCTTTAATAAATTCTCACTGACTAACAACAATTTCATTAAAACATCCTGTGCGATCTTTATGGGCCACAGATACTCAAGTGAGAGAAATAATTTTATATCCAATTATGGGGCGCAGATAAGATAAGCAAATCATCCAAATTTTCAAGATTTCAAAATGAAATTATTAGACTAGTAATATTTACTCCGACATCTACCCCCTAAGATACTTCCAAACTTCAAAGTTTGGAAGAGAAAATCAAACCCATTGTACAAAAATTGAACCCTTTGATTCCCCTTTGGTAATCATTTCTCCAAATCAAGCTAAATTATGTAAGACAACGTCGTCAATGTTGGTTTTATCGCTATATTATAAACATAACAAATATGTTTAATAAATACATATATTTATTTATTAATTGGATTTTGCTTTTATGAGGATTTAAAATCACAAACAATAGTATAATAAAGAGCATAATGTAAAGTAAAGACCGACTGATCCGGAAGCAGAGGCAAACCTTATTATATTTGACAAGTATTTAATTAATAGTCTATTGTTGTTTCCATAGTATGCATAATACAGAACGTTTAAATATCATGAATGGTTCAAATATACATAGAGAAAAATCAACAAAGGGCATCCGATTTAGAAGTTCTTGACGCGTAACGGTACAGTTAGAGCTTATCACTTGAATGGATAATTTAATTAGGATATTTGACTTAAGAGTCGTTTTAAAATGTGTGAACATACTAAATAATTATAATTATACCATTTAATAATATTGCTTCATATTTACACATGTAAGGATGCAGCTTTTTTTTAACAAAATTAAGTAAAATTTTGAAGTTGTTTGTTTTTTACTTACATTATGCGTTCCTCGACATGAAACAACCAAGTACTTGTCGTTATGAAAATGCGTAGTGAATGTAAATAAACGCATTTATTTCACAAGCATTTCTCCGACCGATAAATCTTAAAACATATTCAAGATACGCAAAGCAATTCATCACAAAACTCAAGGAATTGCTTCTTTCTGCAATGTTTCAAAGAATTAGTGTCTACCAAAAGTTGAAATAATTGGTCAAAACGTGAAAAATCTTATCTGGGATGTTATTTGTAACCACACTTCAAGTATTTAAATCATTTTTGAGATAAATTACTTATTGTGGTAAAATGCATCGACACGACGGAGATGGTATTGTCAAGAAAACAAACTTACGAGAAACTTATCTGAGTTTGCAATCGTTGGATTCTCAATACTGCAAGAGACGACGAAAAACAAATTCGTGTCTTGAATATTTATGTCCTTGGAGAATTTTTCCATGGTAATTGTTTTTGGACATGATACAATTTATGGTTATTTTAATCCAAAAGACTAACAACACATAATTGGATAATGTAAAGTTAACACGGCAATTGTAACGCCAACTATAATATTTTCTTACAGCCAACTCATGATCAATGTAATAATTATTTCAGACCCTAATCAACATTCAGTAGCAAAATTAAAATAAGGTAAAACAAAGAAATATTTCAGTTAGTGCTTTTAGGATTGTTCCAATTTGATGAAACCATTTCATGGACAATCTGGAGTTGGATGCCTTAAACGCTCGAATTTTCGCAATCATCTTTAAAATAGTTCAGTTTCTATTTGGAAGAAACAAACAATAAGAATAATCGTGCATGCGTTGATTTCCTGGTCAGTTCGTATAACTGTTGTTGGATGCGGAGAATCCAAGAATGTAGGTAAACCACAGGATGAAGAACGCAGAACGCACAGGCATCGGCGTGGCACGGGACGATGAGCATTCGCAGTTTTGCACAAAGAAAGACGAAAAGCAAACACAGCGACCGACACGCGTGCGAACTGAGAAACACCAGGCCGAGAGAATGCATCAGCATCAGATCGAAATTGGATTTTAATAAGAAATTTCCCATTTGGTTATTGGTTCTGGGAAAATGTATTATGATAGAATTCATACACTTCACGAGCATGTAGAAGCATCTTACTGAAGTTGTTGCACTAAAAATTTAAAATCCAAATTTAAGATAATGATTCTGCATTTATGTGCATTAATTTTATTTTTAACAAGAACTTGAAACAATATTTATAATGATTGAATACAGATTTTATCTGTATAATATATTTCAACCTTCAGGTCTTAATTAAACCCAACACAATTTAAATTTACTACAATCCAGTTAATGACAAGATATAAAACCTTAATCGCAAAATGTAAATAACAGAGATCAGGTTCTAATAGCGCTAAATCTAATCAAAGCATGGTAATATATTTGTAGTGTTATTTTTTACACCTCATCTAACATTAATACATCACATTAAAAATTTAAATGCATTCCAGAATTGCATCTGACCTAAATGAATCCGTTGACGATAATAATTAAATAAAAACATCTAAGAGGCAGTGATTAAAGGCAGGCGATGCGTTTTACGATTTCTGGACAGGAAGATTTAATAGAGTAAATAAAATGAAGAGAATTAAAGATGGTAAAAGATCAGTCTAGTAAATAAAGTAATGTGTAAACTAGTTACGAATGTACGTTATATTAAAAGGACACAAGAAGAATGTACTTAAATTTACTATTATTAAATGTGTTACTAGTTGGAAATGAAAATTCAAGGCTTGGTGATGATAAGTCTTCGAATTTTCTTCGAAGTTAATTAAACTAATTGTATCTCTTATATTAAGTTATTTAGATGTTTACTTCGGATAAAATAACAGGCTCCATGTGGTGAGTAATATTTCAATTGCGTTTCGCTCTATTTCTGGTACTTGGAGATCTATTTACTAAATGCATATATATATATATATATATATATATATATATATATTTATATAACTATCTAAAAGTTGATATTAAGAGCTACAACTTTCAGAGAATTGTTTTTTATCTATTTGGAACCATTTGAGCCCTTGGGAGCAAGAAAATTCGAAAATGACCATATTAAGGACCACCCTAATAATATATATATATATATATATATATATATATATATATATATTACAGGGGTGTCGAAATATGAGTCCAGTCAATAAAGTAGGTATGCATATATAAATCGAACCATTTGTAATATAATCCTAAAGTATGCCATTTAGAAATTGCGAGTGTTAAAATCGCAAGGAATTCATTTCGCATGCCCGCAGGAGTGTCTCGATGGCAAAAGTAAATAACGACACATGTTCTCGTTCTTTTACTCGACGCATGTGCCAACTAAATATGTTTGCAAATTGTTATGGTTATTACGTGGATGAATAACGCAGGGGCGTGCGAGGATAAAAACAGAAAATATGAAAAGCTTTATAAATATCCAACTATCAATTATCTCACTGACCTGAGCTTGTTGCCTGATGATGGTGGCGATGAGTTCGGCGGCAGGAACCAAGAAACACCTCTCGAACTGGTCAAGATCGCCCAGGTGAGCGCAGACGAGCAGGTCCCTCGCCTGCCTCAGCAGAGAATTCCTCACCGAGGCGTACTGCGGTATCACGCCACCGAGCGATCGGTCTAGCATACTGCACAGGGAACCCTGTAACGGAATACAGTAATTTATTGCCATTGTTTATTATGATCGATTTTTATATACATTCACAGTTAAAGTAGTAAATTAAAAATAAGGAATGTTTTCGCGGTCGTTGATTGCAGTAGCAGTTGTTGAATCTGACCAACTATTACAAAATAGAACTTGCGGTTTATGATTATGTTATCCAGGATTTGACGCATAATTGTCTCATTAATGGATACATGAAATTAAGTGTATGGATGATATATTTTATTAAAGTATATTTAAGATAAATGACTCAGACGAAGTTGAAGTCGAAGTTATTTAAAGCTGTTGAAGTTTAAGAAATTTTCTTTCATAGACTAATTTTTTTTGACATTAGCTGATTTCTGTGCTATAGAAATTAGTTGTCTAAGGATGCAGAAGGTATCAATCATCAAAGTCGAATTTAATATTACAATTACCATTGGCGTTTGATAAATCCGAGAAGCAATAGTGATCATCCTCCTCCGTTATCTTCACACACCGAAGAGTATTCTCTTTCTCAGTCACGCGACCAGAAATTTCATTGAAATGTATCTTGTTAGCGATGCACGTTATATTATTCTGATACAAACACCATGAATTAAACTATGATACAGTAATAATAAAAATATAGCTGTACAACCGTACTGAGCACGATTGATTAATATGTATGCCTTCTTAAACACGATAGAACTGAATACTCGTGACCGCCGTTAATTACACACCGGAATGATAAATTAATTATTTCGACTAATTGTGACGGAGTGAATTCTCTATTTACGGCGAGATTAAACCGCATTCATTAAATTTGTATAGTATCAATAAGAAACAAATTTTACATAGTGCATATACACTTGAAGCATAATTAATATGAAAAGCAAAGCTGATTTCACTTAAAATATATGTCGTTAACTATAAGTAGAACGCCAATTTAATTTCGTGATTCTGTTTTGGTCATTAAAAATTCATAAATTCTAATTTAATTGCCGATAAGAGCTAAACGATCGTCGATTTGTATTTGTACCATCCATAAACAATATCAGTGGTACTAATAAACTAGATCGGACGATATATACTTTCGGCCTGATGTCTGATGTCGTGCACTGTTCCTGCCTTCGGAGCGGCGCATGTGATTAATTTTTCAGGGAAGTCGAATAACGAGACGGAGTACGGATATAGAACGCGACCATTCATTTCCACTCGCCACCATACATTAGGAGAACCATTTCAGAGCTTTGCAAAGTTTGGAAAAGAAAATTAAAAAATCGATATACCAGTATATACGTCAGTACGCTAGGTGATACAAACATCTGTTTTATGGATTGTTGAAGCAATAACAAATTTTGCCAAAAAAATTCACATAAAAATATATTTTTAAAAAAATCTCCACCTAGTTTACTGATCACAAGTATTCCACACGTACTATTTTGTAAAAAATAAATTTGTTCATTACTATATCAGCATACCATGAATTATTGTTTTTTTCTGTTTTTAAATTTTATATATTATAATAGCAAAATGTAGTATTATCAAGTCTTTCTTAATATACTTCAGTTGTTGCTTCATAAAATGGTTAATTTGATTGTTGTATCATTTACATATACGAGTATTTCATTTTCCCTTGAGAAACCCTGGCTCTTCTATGATTCATGACGGCGTCTTCGATAAATAGAATTATGGAATTTTTATGCTTTTCCTGTGTGCTCAATATAACTTCTACTCTCTGCAAACATTATCTTTCGCTTAAAATTCTCTCAACAACTACATAATAAAACTAGACGATCGTATTAACCGATAATTAAAAATTATGAACGGGAAAGTGATTAGTGATTATTTAGATGGCTTCAAAATTAGGACAGATGTTAACGAGCATAAATGATTGCTTCGTAGAGAAGAATTATATTTTATAATGCAACGCTTGTTGTATCATTAATTATGTATCGATTGTTAATGATTTTTAAAAAAATGCGTTTGTATTTTGTTTGAAACGTAAATTATATGCTAGGAACAAACGCTAACGAGGAGGATGAATTATAGTAAATAATAAAATAATTTTCTTTTATTTATATATGATGTACATTTTTATACCCACGCATGTAAGTATATCCAATATCAAAATTAATTCTAAATTAAATAAATTTGTGCGCCATTGCATGTTATGGTCTATTTTATTAGGGAATTGGTCCCATAATTTTAAACAACATCAGTTTTTTTAAATTTTGCCACTGGAATAAGATTCGAAATAATGATTCTGCCATTTCAGCAAATTTGCTCGTTTCCGTTGCAGGAATGATGGAGAAATCTCCAAACGGAGACAAAAGTGATGATAAAGCAAGAAAATGTTTTGATATAAATAATTTAAATATTACAAAATCCTAGCAATAAGCCTCTTCTTATTTAATAATCCTTCGAAATGAAGGACTGAACATATAATAAGAACTTGGATGAATAAAAGTCACTTTCATATGAACTTTTAGAATTGAATTTAAAGCAAGAGAGTAATGTCACGCTCCACGGGAGGCGTATGGGAACAAAACGATACAGAATCCCAACGGAGTAATCCTTTATGAGAGCGGTTGAATATTATGTGAAAAATTAATCCCGAAAAACGCTCCGATCGTAAATCGAAATCAAGCCCCGTGGCTTACCACAGCACCGATTTACTCTAAACCCCCCATAAGCATATGAATGGACGGCGAATGAAACATTTTGGGTGAATATCTTCACAATAGTTATAGTAATGTTTAACCAAATATTATACAAAGCCTTCAGATTTATGGCCGAAATATCCTTTAATCACCCAGGACATCGGGTACAGTATATACTGGTATTAGGTTAAAATTTATAGCTCATTTTGAATAAAAATTTGAATTTATGAATTATAAACAGAAAGTAATGAAGTCCTTCAACAGTAATATTTATATAAATGAAAAAAAAATTATCTAGCATCGATTGGTAAAACTAAGGTATCTGTTGAATTAAAAAAATGTATGTTATATTTACCATATTTTTATTTCGTTTATTTCAAGTTTCACACGTTTGTTTCCATAAAATGACCGTAACTATTACTAGTCTTCTAAAGCGTTTTTTGTGTTATTTTGTAACTCTCTTATTATATCTTTAAAGTACTTGTTGAATGTTAAATAATAAAATTGTGAGTTTATTGGACAAGGTGCGAATAAAACTCGACAATGTAACTATCGTTCGATAGAATATCAAACGACTTAACAGATAATACGAAATACAACTAGCTGTTTGACCCCTGAATACATTGTTTCAGGGGATAGAAAACATATTGGGAGGAATGGATTATATAAATATAAAGATATTATATGAGACACTAATTCACAACAACTTACAGAATTATGTTCAGAGAAAAAAATGAAACAACTGAATGATGGCGCTAAATACTGATTGCTATTCAGATTTCATGGATCTAAGTCTCACACCATGCTCTAGATATTAGTTTTTCGAAAATTGTGACGCTATTTTAATCGACGATTTCTTCTTGTGAAAAGTATGAATGATGTATAAAATGAATATATAACATGATACTTTCTACCCAATATTTTACCATTGCACTTTAAATAAATAATGAGGAATAAAGGGAGCACTTTTCCACCCCAGTGTATTGCATTACTCGGGCGACTGCACGCATAATGTCACCGCATATGCGCTTTCTAGTTGTGCAAATAAAATAAATCAATTCGACAACCCCGACTAAGATTGTTTTACATATATTGATATTTATAACCCACACGGGGTAGAAGAATTATGTTACACAGCAATTGAATTATTTAGATTTGTTTTTAAGTTTAAATTAAATACTTTGTAAAATATTATGACAGTGCTGTTTTTAAATTGGTAAATGAGATTACCACAGATAGGTCAAGCATTGAATTGCCATGAAAAAGCCACTTGGTAGTAGAAAAGTGTTATAGCAAAAGCTCATAGAACTCTTACAATCAGTTCTGGTTGCCAATAAAAGATCAAGTGTTACGTTTGATAATTAAATTTTCTTTCCTGACACCTTTTAGCATGTGAAAGAGTCGAAGAAGTCGAGCTGGAAGCGATAAATCGAAGGGGTATCAAGTGCGAAACAAAGGCCGCGCCAATAACATCGTTCGGCCGTCTTTCCGAGCGTGAATTTTTCATATTTATTGCGATTTCGATTTTCGAACGATACATCAGCGTCACGCGCGGACCCACAGCCCCGGGGGCATTTCTTTCCCGACAGGACCGTATTCTAATAAAAGTAAATCTTCTGCCAAACTTTGTTAAATAAAAATAATTAATGGTAGTCCGCCCGAAGGCGTCACAAATGAAAGATTTCCTTACCCTTCGTCGTCTATCATTTCCATTACCACTATTTCCCCCAATTTTTTTGTATTTTCCTTTTCAAACTTCTGCTTCCATACTTCCTGATTCTGCGTTTCGGCTTTCAGCTCCTTGTGTTTTCTCTCTCTTCTTTGCGGCCCTAAATTTTCACCCTCCCTGCAATCCCTACATTTGTAATCCAATAATTTTTTATTTAATTATATAATATGTTTTTAAATTTCACTATCTTCAACACATTGGTCATATCGTCTTCAATGTTTCAATGAAGTCACGGCTAGAAAAATTTGGAAGCAATTGGAACTTGAGTTTAAAGTTTGTACCACGTTAAATATATTAATTGCATGATCATTTAATATATTTGTAGTAATATCTTGTCAGAATTTTTAACTAAAATAAAATTTCCATTCCCAAAATATATTTATGTATGTCGTGTGACCATATTTAGTACTCGCGCCCTAATTTTAAAATAAATTCAGGCTAATCAAACATATTAGTGTATATAATAAAATCTAATAATTCATAACATTTAACATTCACTTCTTAATAATTGTACTAACATATTATTTATATAAATACATACTTCGTATCATTCGTAAAGAGAAGGTTATAATGTTCTATATAAACAGAAATGTGTGAGCAACAGATATCATATAAAAAATTCATAG